ACAGGCTGGGCGTGGTCCACTGGTCATCATTTATCACCAATGAACGATACATTAGGTGGCAAATGCTAGAGAAGGAACATTGGTGAGATGGTGGGCAGGAGGATCGTATGGTGTGGCCATGGCCGGCTTTGAGAAGAAGGTACAGTTTGAGCAAGAGCCATGCAGCCAGCGTGGGAAGAGAGCTGTAGGTGGGGGCACCACCTCACAGAGGCCTGGGAGAGGGATGTGTCTGGTCTGTTTGTTTTTAAGATGGAGTCTCGTTCTCTGTCACCCAGGCTGGAGTGCAGTGGTGTGATTTCAGCTCACTGCAACCTCTGCCTCTCAAATTCAAGTGGTTCTCCTGCCTCAGCCTCCCATGTAGCTGGGGTTAACAGGCATGTGCCATCATACCCAGCTAAGTTTTGTATTTTGACTAGAGGCGGGATTTCACTGTATTAGCCAGGCTGGTCTCAGACTCCTGGGCTCCAGACACTCGGCCTTCCAAAGTGCTGGGATTACTGGCATGAGCCACCATGCGTGCCCTGGCCTGTTTGAAAAGCAAGCTGGCGGGGCTGAAACAGAATGTGAGCAAGGGTGAGTGGATGCAACTGGGAGGGACTGGGATGCCCCAAGGCTGGGGGGTGGGGGAGGGCTCTGGCTTCTGCTGTGACCTAGGAAGGACGTGATCACCCTTTCACTTCAAAAGGCCCCTTTGGTTCTGTGTTGAGAACACGGGTGTGGTGGATAGAAGTGGGGAACCCAGTCTAGAGCAGGGGCTTGGGGACCAGTATCCTTTTTTCTCCCAGGCACGTGGCCCACCAGGAACTGGGCTCCAGGCAGAGAGGCAGCCCCCTTCTTCCACGCTGCTGGCCTCATAGAGTGTCTGGACTCTGGCTGTAACTAAGATTCCTCTGCATCGGCTCTGTGTGCCTCAGTCTCCCCAGCTGTAAAATAGGGACTAAACCCACATCATGGGGAAAAGGCTCCATGTAACACAAGTTCCTGCTCCTGCTGCCTGTGGTCAGAATGTAGGCTGAGGAAGGGAAGAGCTCCCACGGTGGGGCTTTGGCTTGGTTGAAGAATCACCTGCCTGGTTATTTGCCTACCTGGTGAGTGAGATCTGGTGGGGGTGTCAAAAAATGGATTCAACTGGCAGGGAGGGCATTCAGGCTGCTTCCTGCCTTCAGCTGCAGGGCCTCGGGGCTCCCCAGAAGGTAAGTGAGGCCACCTGCCCATGCACCCCCTCCACTGGCTTATCAGAAACAGTGTGCAACATTCCTCTTCCCACTTCACCACCATGTGAGCCGAGATCTCCCTGATCATTCAGATCTCACAGGCTTGACCCCTACTCTACATATTGAGAAAGTTCCAGTCTTCCCTTCAACTGTAGAAATTTCCTAGACCTGTTGGTCGGGCATAATAGTTCACACCTGTAATCCCAGCACTTTGGGGGGCCGAGATGGGCAGATCACTTGAGGCCGGGAGTTTGAGACCAGCCCGGCCAACATGGTGAAACCCTGACTCTGCTAAAAATACAAAAATTAGCTGGGCATGGCAGTGAGTGCCTGTAGTTCCAGCTACTCCAGAGGCTGAGACAGGAGACTCACTTAAACCCAGGAGGCAGAGGTCGCAGAGTCAAAATCGTACCACTATACTCCAGCCTGGGCAACAGAATGAGATTCTGTCTCAAAAAGCAAACCAAAGCAATTTCCTAGACCTTCCAGCTCCTGTCTTTGGCATCTCCACACATAGACCCCATGCTGCCCAAGACCCAGGGGACAGAGCAGGCATGACATCAGACACCTGTGTCCTCAAAATAGGGCAGCTTGTTTCTGTCCCGGCCTCGCCCCCCACCTCTGCTGTCATGCCGGCCTCTGTTCTTCTCCACTGCATTATGGGATTTCCTAGAACAAGGACAGCCCCTCTCTGAGAGGCATGCCCATGCTCTCCACAGCAGAGCTCTTCTTGCAGACCTGTGAGCTCCCTCTCTGCAGCCAAAGAAAGTACGGCTCGGCCAGGCACAGCGACTTGTCCTGTGCGTTCCCTCTAGGAACTACTCAGTGGTGGTGATGCTGCCACTGCTGCCTCAGGGGGATGAGCCCCTGGACGTGGCCCAAGTGACCAGCTACCTGGTGGAAGAGAAGCTGCTGTGGCTGCTCCAAGAGCTGTCCGGGGCTAATGTGCTGGCCGAGTTCTGCCGGCTCAGACGTTGCCTGCTGCAGGGTCCCTGGGAGTGTGAGTCCTGCCCTGGGCTGTGCTGCCCTCCTCCCCATGGGCACAGCAGCAAGGCCATGCAGAAGCAGGTACTGTGGGGGCACAGGGAAGCCTGCAGAGGCTCGTGGCATCACAGTGCCAGGCCCAGAGCTTACTGGACTTCCGTAGGTCCTAAGGGACTAGGGCTGAGGCTGCACATCCTGCTTTTGTCCAGAACACAAGGCCTGGCCCAGCAGAGGAGTATAGCAGGCAGCTTAGGGCTTCAGGCCAGCTCCTTCCCTGTGGGCTCTGCTGGAGCAGAAGGCAGATCTCCCGTTGCAGCTGGAAGGGCATTAATTGAATTCAGACTCACCAGTCAGGGGCGACCTGCAGTAACAATGGTGCTGGGATGACCAGCCCTGGCTCTGGGCTCCTGGGGAGCTTGCGTGTGGCTCAGGTGAGTCTGCTAACCTCTGTAGACTCAGCTTCCTCCGCTGTGAAATGTAAGTAACCACGTGGCTCGCTCACATGTGTAAGGAGCATATACAGTTCTTAATGCATGAGGGAGTCCCTCATGTCTGTGGGGGAGCCACAGTACCCAGGCTTGGCAAGGTGTGGTTTATCTGTGTGGGACTCACACAGAGGGCTAGGGCTCCCTAGAAGCGTGGGTGCAGTCATGTCTAAGCAGCACGCCAATGTTGTAGAAAACACCCTGGTCTTCAAGTTCTGTGTGTGTGACCATAGGCTTCTCTGTACTCCTGAGTTCTGACAGCTGAGCACGGGGCAGTAGTGCCTCCCTCAGGATGCTGGCCCTGGCCATCATGTGCCTGGCTGTGCACCATAGACGGTGCTTCCCCGCCATGGGCATGAGCACCCCCAAGGCACAGCTCAGGGGCCGCACTGGTTAGACTGGTCAGTCCTTCAAGGGCCATCTCTTTCCTTCCCTGATGAGGGCCGGTCTGCAGGCCGCTGCTCTCATGTTTGAGGGAGCTGTTGACCATCCTCTTAAACAGTCAATGTTTTTTCCCACAGTAGCTGCCTTGAGATTAAATGGATGACTTGTATAATCTGTGATTTTTTTTTTTTTTTTTTTTTTTTTGAGACTAGGTCTCACTCTGTTGTCATGGCTAGAGTGCAGTGGTGCTATCTCGGCTCACTGCACCCTTGACCTCCTGGGTTCAAGTGATCCTCCTGCCACAACCCTGCAAAGTGCTGGGATGGCTTAGTGCTGCCATGCCCGGCTGATCTGTGAATTTCAAGTGCACGATTCAGCGGCTTCGAGTTTATTCAGAGTTGTGCATGCCTCACCACAGTTGATTTTAAAACATATTTATCATCCTAAAATGAAATGCTACAGCTTCCAATCTGCCTGCTGTGTCCATGGCTGTGCCTGCTCTGGATGTTTGATGTAAACGGAAGCATAGAACACGTGGCCCGTGAGCCAGGCTTTGTTACTTAGCACAGCATTTTTGTAGCAGGTCTCAGGACTCCATTCCTTGTTAGGGCTGAATTGGCCATAGACTTTCAGCTCATGTCATCTTGAAGCTGGTGGGGGATCGCTGGGCCTCTGGCTGCTGCACCAGGGGAGGAGGAACTCCTGGCCTCAGGGCAGGCTAAGCTGGAGCTCTAGGCATCAGGGTGCCCAGCAGGCACTGGGCTCCCTCTGCGGTGGGTGGAGCTGGCCCCACTCACCCTGCCTTTGGGGCTGCTTCTTCCCAGACCATGCCCCGGTGGCCGGGGCCCAGCATGTGGTGACCTTCGACGGCCAGGTGTGGGACCTCAGTGCTCAGTGCGGCAGCGTCCTGCTGGCCCAAAACTTTGCTCACAACACATTTACCCTGATGCTCAGTTGGACAGGCTTGGGGCTCACAGCCCTGACCGTGGAGCTGAACCACATGACCCTCATCTTCTACCCCAGCCTGCAGGTGAGGAGAGGCCCGAGGCTTCTCCCAGAGATCTGTGCCTATGGCAGTTTGCTTGGGGCGATGGCACTTTCAAGCTTGTCCCCTGGCTGTGGGTCAGCCCTCCTGCCCATCCCCTCTGGCCCACAGGCTTACAGGCTGTACAACTCCTCCCTGCCGGGGGAGAGCTGTCCAGACCTCCAGCTGTGTCCTGCCATGACAAAGGAGGGATGCCCCCAGCATTGAGCTGGCCAGTGAGGACAGAATGTCTGTCTCCTATGACATGCCCACCAGCCTCTGCAGCCTGACTCTGGGCCTCTGGCACCACGGTCAGTGTGGGCCCCAGCAGGGTTGGCCCCACCAACAAGGGCCTCTTCAGGATGCACCATTCTCAGCTTCCAGTGCGACAGGTCCCCAGGCTGTAGGTGGTGACTGTGGATGCAGAGCCTCTGCTGGCCTTGTCTCCAGCACTGCAGCATGCTACTGACCTTGTGTCCAGATGATTGAACAGAGGCCCAGGGCTTTCTGCCCCTGTCCCTGGGATATGTGGCTCCAGGGTAGAGTTGGGCCTTCTGTGGTCCCTTTGCCAAGGAACACAAAGGAAGGGCCTGGATTCTGGCCACTTGAGCTGAGAATGTGGGGAGGGGACAGAGGTGGGGGGGACACATGCTGCCCTCTGTCCCTGTGCTTTCTCTCCCTCCTCTGATGAGGGTTTGGAGCCAGGGCCCTGGGCTCTAGAAGTCCGGGGTGGAGGTGGCGGGATTCTACCTCTTCTTGGTGTGCCTTAGGCTCATCTCACACACAGGTCCCCTGGGGGAGGATCTCGGGCTCTCATGACCTCCTCAGCTTCCCTCCTCCCTACAGATATATCCACCAGCCTTCTAGGCACCAAAGACAATGAAGCAGGCAATGAGCTGATGTTGCTTGATGTCTCTGTGACCCGCAGCCTGGAGGAGCTCAGCCTGGCCTGGCAGGTAAGTGGGTGTATCTGCCCAGCCTCCGGCTGAGGCTCTTCAGGGTTGCTTGCTGTAGAGTCCCCTGAGAGGCAGGTGGCCTGCTGGCTCTGTAGAGGACTTTGCAGGCCCAGGGTTTGGGGGAGTCTACTGCTGAGGCCGATGTATGTTGGGGAGCCACATGGTCCAGCGGGAGGCCTTAGTCTTGTGTCTGTCCTGCCAGGTGGATGGTGACTACAGGGCCACCGAGAAGACTCAGCAGGCCTGCCCAGGACAGAGCCCCACCTGCTGGGCCTTCTTCCAGGACCCCGCTCCAGCTTGGGGAACTGCTTCCCAGTGGTGAGTGTGAGCCTGGCCTGTGGGGCACAGAGAGCTCTTTCCCCAATCTAGCCTCAGCCCCTCCTCCATGCCACTGCCCAGGGTAGGGACAGTGACTGGGTGCCCGTGATTTCAGATGGACCCTGCACCATTCTTCAGCCTGTGTGTGCAGGACCCATGCGGCACCTGGGAGCCCCAGACTGCCTGCACCCTGGTGGCCACCTACATCCACCTATGTGCCTGCAGTTTCATGCCCCTGGCCCTTCCTCCACAGTGCGGTAAGCTGCCCCAGCTGGCTGGCACTCTGACCCCTGTCTGGCATCTGCCTTCCAGCCCAGAGGGAAAGCCAGTCTCTCTCTCTTGCCACGGAGGGCAAATACTCAGTTGTCATTCAAGGAGCTTAGAGTCAAAACAAAACATTTACGGCCTGACACAGCTTTGATTTGTGTCCCCTCCAAATCTCACATTTGTTAGAGGGGGTGCATCCCTCCTGGATGGCTTAGCACCCTCCGTTTGGTGAAGTGTGAGTTCTTGCTCTACTAGTTCACATGAGAACAGTTTGTTTATAAAGAACCTGGCACCTCCCCTCTCTCTTTGCACCCACTCTCATTTCTGCCATGATTGTAAGCTTCCTGAGGCCTCACCAGAAGCCAAGCAGATGCTGGAGCTGTGCTTGTGCAGCCTGTAGAACTGTGAGTTAATCATATCTCTTATTTATGAACTGCCCAGGCTGGAGTGTAATGGCGCAATCTCGGCTTACTGCAACTTCCACTTCCCAGGTTCCAGCAATACTCCTGCCTCAGCATCCCAAAAATCCAGGCACATATTTTTGTAGAGATGAGGTTTGGCTGTGTTGGCCAGGCTGGTCATGAATTCCTGACCTTGGGTGATATGCCTGCCTAGGCCTCCCAAAGAGCTGCGATGACAGGAGTGAGCCACTGTGCCCAGCCTCATTAGGGATTTGAATGTACACCACTGTTTAGGGAAAATGCTCAGCCCCATTTTCCCTCTGCTCTCATACCACATCACCATCAATACAGAAGATGACTTCTGTGAGCAAATGTGTGGGGGTTTGTTCCCACTACCAGGGCGTCCCTCTAATTCAGTTCTCACACTAGCTGCCTTGAGATAGCATCAGAGCCCGCATAGTGAGAGATTCTTCAGCCAGTGCTGCATATGATTGCCATAGCCAAAGCCCCACCTAAGGGCATATAAGTCAGTGGCAATAAGAGGTGTGGACTTCCAAGAGCTTCAGATGCCAGAATTAGTGGCTGCCATTCACAGACATTTAAAACTTAACGAATTCAACAGCAGAAGAGACAATCAATTGGAAAATGTGACAAACTGAGGATGAAATGAGAAGATCCAATATGTTTCAAAGAAATTCCAGGCCAGGTGTGGTGGCTCATCCCTGTAATCCCAGAACTTTCGGAGGCCAAGATGAGTAGATCACCTAAGGTCAGGAGTTCAAGACCAGCCGGACCAACACGGTGAAACCTCATCTCTACTAAAAATACAGAAATTAGCAAGGCATGGTGATGTGTGCGTATAATTCCAGCTACTCGGGAAGCTGAGGCAGGAGAAATGCTTGAAACCAGGAGGTGGAGGTTGTAGTATGCCAAGATCTTGCCACTGCACTCCAGCCTGGTGACAGAGTGAGAGTCTGTGTCAAAAAACAAATTCCAGAATGAAGGACCCAGGACGCACAATCCCCAATACAATAAATCCATCCATACCTAGACCCATCAAAACAAAATTGAAGAAAAGACAAAGAAAAGGTCCTAAAAGCAACTGAGGAGGGTGGAAAGAAGGAAGAACATGCTCACAATTGCTGTCCCACCAGCAGCAACAGAAGACAATAGAATAATAGAAAATAAGCCTGAGGTTAGAATTTATATCCAGCTCAACTATTACTTAATGAAATAGCCTGTCAGTACTGATCTGTCTAGAGATATCTTTACCACAAATGGACACTTACTCAAGGGATACATCCACATGTTCATTTATGTACGGTCTGTGTCTGCTTTCCTGCTACAGCGGCAGAGTATTTGCAAAAGACCATATTTCTGCTCTCTGAAAGACTATATTAGGAATATGGAAAGAAAAGCTACAGATTGGGAAAAATGTTTATAAACCACCTATCAGACCAAGGACTCATCTCCAGAGACTCATCTCTAGAATGTATAAAGAACTCAAAGCTCAGAAGTAGATCAGGTGCAGTGGCTCACACTTGTACTCCTAGCACTTTGGAAGGCTGAGGTGAGTTGGCTTGAACCTTAGGAGATCAAGGCTGCAGTGACCCATGATCACACTACTGGCTGCATGACAGAGTGAGACCTTGTCTCACAAAACAAAACCTCCAAAGTAAAAAATGGGAAATAAACACATGAACAATGTTCACAATCCCAGCCATAGAGAAACAAGGTAGCGCTACATACTTGAGCTCCAGTGAGTTCCGGCACGGGTTGGTGAGTTCCTGGGACTCCACAGCATAAAGCATTAGTTGAACATCCAAATGGCCAGGTTGTGATTTCAGCGTCCACTTATAAGTGTGCTGTAAAAAGTACCATTCTAGTACCAAAAAAGGTGGTGGCTGCTGAGAATCAAGCTAGGCTTAGCGGCAGGAATCAATGTCATGGTCTACCAACCAGATCCTCTCAGGAAGGAGCCTTGGACTCACAAAGTGCCAAGACGAGATGATGTGGCTCCACGGGAAGCTTGGAGAATCTGTCAATCAAGCAGGAGCACTCGTTGTTTTGAACATGTAAAGACAAAACTGTCAGCTACTATAGCCATCAACAGAACATCTGGGAGGACAAGCAACTCAGAAGATTTATAGCCACAGGGTAACAATGGACTATTATTTGCAGTTAAGGTCCTCTCCCTTCCTCTGAGAGTTTATTTATTTTTTTGAGACAGAGTCTTGCTCTGTTGCCCAAGCTGGAGTGCAGCGGCACAATCTCAGCTCACTGCAACCTTCGCCTCCCAGGTTCCAACAACTCTCCTGCCTCAGCCTCCTGAGGAGCTGGAATTACAGGCATGTTCCACCATGCTCAGCTAATTTTTGTGTGATTTTAGTGGAGATGGGGTTTGACCATGTTGGCCAGGATCGTCTTGAATGCTGGACCTTGTGATCTGCCTGCCTCAGCCTCCCAAAATGCTGGGAGTACAGGTGTGAGCCAGTATCCTGCCAGGTTTATTTATTTATTTTTTAAAATCAAGGGCTAAATTCTTCCCCTTTCTTGGACACAAGTGAAGTATTTAAGAAAAGCAGTCACCAATTACAGTTAACTTTTGAAGGACAAATTAAAAAGTGATTATAAGTTACAAAATAAAGGCATCTTACAAACTCTAGTAAGAAAAAGAGGAGGAAATTAACACACTTTTTATCTTTTTGAGATAGGGTCTTGCTCTGTCCCCCAGGCTGGAGTACAGTGGTGCAGCCTCTCAAGTAGCTGGGATTACAGGTGTCTGACACCATGTTTTTGTATTTTTAAAAGAGACGGGGTTTCACCACATTGGCCAGGCTGGTCTCGAACTCCTGACCTCATGTGATCCTCCCACCTCGCACCTGACCAGAGAAATTAAGACATTCTCAGATAAACAAAAGTGATTTCATTACATTTGGACCTGACCTGCAAGAAATTCTAAAGGGAGTCCTTCAAGTCAAAACAAAAGGATTCTAAGGTAGAAATTTCAAGCCATGTATAAAGGCCCATATTACTGTGATTCTGATTCATATCTCTGATTTTAATTATTTTATTAGATTTAAAAGAGATGTGTAACCATAAGCCTATGTTAAATATATAATTTATAAAAAAAAAAAAAAATTAGGCCTGGTGGCATGCACTTGTAGTCTCAGCTATGGAGGATCGCTTGAGTCCAGGGCCTTGAGGTTACAATGAGCTATGGCAGTGCCACTGCACTCCAGCCTGGGTGACAGAGTGAGACCCTGTCTCTAAGAAATAGATATACTTTGTGACAACAACAACATAGGAGGGGGCAGAGCTGTCAAGAAGCAGAGTATTTGTATGTGATTGAACTTACCAGTTTAAAATCAACTGCTATAACTTCATGAGGTTTTATGTAATCCTCATGGTAATTACAAAGAAAATATCTATAGAATGTACATAAAAGGAAATGAGAAGGGATTCTAAGTGTGTCACACAAAAAATCAATTAAACACAAAGGAAGGCAGAAGGAAGGAAATGAGAGAGAAAACAAACCATAAGCCATGCAGAAAACAATCCACAGAGTGGCACCGGGAGGCCCCGTAAATGGTGTGTTGGAGTCCTCCCAAAGCAACTGCTCACTTAGTCCCTGGGTGTGGGCCTCATGGCACAGTCACCCACCACGCTAGTGAGTTTCGTCAGGTGATAATCTTTAAAAATGCAAATGAATTCCACAATCAAAAGACTGTAAGAGACTTACACATAAGTTGAAAGTAAAGGGATGAAAAAAGATACTCCATGCAAATGGTAACCAAAAAAAAAAAAAGGAGGAGGAGCTAGACTAATATCAGACTAAATAGATTTAAGATCAAAAGCTGTTATAAGAGATAATAAAAGTCAATTTACCAAAAAGATGTGACAGTTATAAATGTGCATGCAACGCACCTCAGAGCTCCTAAATACATGAAGCAAACCTGGACAGAATGAAAGGAGAAACAGACAGTTCTATGATAATTGTAGGAGATTTCAACATCTCACTTTTTTTTTGTTTTTTTTTGAGACAAAATTTCTCTCTGATGCCCAGATTGGAGCGCAGTGATGTGATATAGGTCACTACAACCTCCTGGATTCAAGTGATTCCCGTGCCTCAGCATCAGAGTAGCTGGGATTACAGGTGTACACCACCACGCCCAGCTATTTTTTAGTAGAGACAGGGTTCCACCACATTGGCCAGTCTGGTCTCGAACTCCTGACCTCAAGTGATCTGCCCCCTCGGCCTCCCAAAGTGCTGAGATTACAGGCATGAGCCACTGCACCCAGCCCAATAACTCACTTTCAATAATGGATACT